TCCCTCAATTTGTAATGGTACATCTTACTTGCTTTTTAATGTTATTCTAAGTAAAATAATAATAATAATAATAGTAATGCAAATTATTTGTTAATTTAATGCAAATTTGTTGCTGTTGTTGTTAAGTGCTATTGAGTTGGTTCCGACCCATAGCGACTGTGTATAAGGTTTCCGAGGAGCAGCTGGTAAGCTTGAACCGCTGACCTTGCAGTTCAAACGGCTTTGTAGTCTGGCTCATTAACCCACCGCGCCACACCAGGACTCCAAGTAGCAGAACCTTTAACTCATATGCAAAATCACTAAAATTGCAGTTTATATTTTGTAGCTCATAGATGGCACATGTATTTTGTTATCAGAACAATAGAGATGTGGCATGGAACTTTGTATTTCGCTCTTGAAATGTATTTAATCTACCCAAATTCTTATCCTTTGACTTACTTGTAAATGAGCTAAAACTGAAAAGAAAAGGAATTGTGGGTTGCCCTATCTTTTCTTTCATCGCATATCATCATTTTCAGTATAAGTGATTAGCTAATAAGAGTATATAGAAGAAACACAAATGAGAAAGGCTATACTATAGTTTCTTAGTCATTGGCATTTCTTGTATCATCAGTTCTTTCTGAATTGAAAGTAAGTTCTGTTTCGAATGGAAACTTGATCTTTATGGCTGTTAGTACCCTGCTTACACAGTCTTCCATGTGCTAATCTTAGATATTTACTTTGTTCACACATTGAGTCTCTCTTAACTCCTTTACAAGGTGGGTCCACCAAAATTCTGTGCTTGTGGGATATTTGAGCCCAGAATGTAAACAGAGATTCCAGGTCTACCTGAGCAAGTAGGAGTGAACTATGGTTAATTGTAACATTTAAATGAAACTCATAGTAAAAGGAGTTACTGAAGAAATATTGGAGAGAATGTCCAGCAGTTAGTCCAATTGTTGTTGTTGTTGTTAGGTGCCATCAAGTCGGTACCAACTCAGAGTGACCCTATGCACAACAGAATGAAACGCTGCCCGATCCTGGGCCAACCTCACAATTGTTGCCAAGCTTGAGCCCATTGATGCTGTCACGATAGTCCAATAAAGCCATGCATAAAATGCTTGTGTGTGTATACCCTAACTATATTTAGCTTATTTATATACTTTTAAAACAAACATTCATCCTGGCAACATCAGTTAAAAAATATTAATGGATAAATTATTAGTCCTTGACTGAGTTAGCGCAAACTGATTGCTTAAATTTCATTTTAAAATGTAAATATTTTATAAAAAACATTATCCTTAAATGTACTTTTCCTTGATGTATTTTAGGTGAAAATTATGGCAATATGTAAATTCTAACCTTGTTTAAAAGTTGTTTACAAAATGACTAGATGTAAAAATAGGCTGCCAAATATCACAAATAGGATAAAAATTAGGTGGGCATTGTAAATATTCCTATTTCCCAGAAAGCAGATGATTTTGATTGTTCAGCAGGGAGATTCATGTGACTGTCTGATTTGAAGCATCAGGCTAATTTCTCCATGTAAGAAGTTGTTTTTGTTGTTAGGTGTCATCCAGTTGGTTCAAACTCATAGAACACAGCAGAATTAAATACTTCCTGGTCCTGTGCCATTTGCACAATTGTTGCTACACTTGAACCCATTGCTGCTGCCGTTGTGCCAATACGTTTTGTTGGAGGGATCTTCTGCTTTTACATTGACCCTCTCCACATTACCAAGCATGATGCCTTTTGCCAGGGGCTGTTCCCTCCTGAAAACACATCTGAAGTATGAGAAAAGAAGTCTAACTATCCTGACTTCTAAGGTGCATTCTCACTGCACTTCTTCCAACACTGATTTGTTTATTTTTGTGGCATTACATGGTACTTTGGATATTCTTCTCCAACACCATATCTCAGATGCCTCAATTCTTCTACACTGTCCAACTTTCTAATACATATGAGGCAATTAAAAATATCATTTTGGCTTTGGTCAGGTGCACCCTACTCCACAAACTGATATCTGTACTCTTGAACACTTTAAACAGATCTTGTGCAGCACATTTGCCTGATACATTGTTTGATTTCTTCACTGCTACTTCCATGAGTAAAGGCGCTCTGGTAGCATAGTGGTTACGAATTGGGCTGTGAACTGCAAGGTCAGACGTTCGAAACTACCAGCTGTTCCGCGGGAGAAAGATGAGGCTTACTGGTCCCATAAAGATTTACAGCCTCGGAAACCCTGCACAGGGTCGCTATGAGTCAGAACCGTCTCCACGGCACATAACCACTACCACCACTTCCATGAGTACGGAGTTCTGGTAGCATAGTGGCTACAAGTTGGGCTGCAAATCTCACAGTCAGCAGTTCAAAACTACCAGCCATTCCATGGGGAAAAGATGAGGCTTTCTGCTCCCATAAATATTTGCAGCCTTGGAAACCCTGTACAGGGTCTCCATGAGTGGGAACCAACTCCATGGCACACTACCACCACCACTTCCATGAGTATTAATTGTGTATCCAAGCAAAATGAAGTTTCTGACAACTTCAATCTTTTCTCCATTTATCTTGATATTTGTCTAGTTGTGAGAATTTTTTGTTTTCTTTACATTGAGGTGAAACCTATACTGAAGGCTGTGGTCTTTGATCTTCTTCACTAAGTATTTTAAGTCCTCTTCACTTCAGCAAGAAGGTTGTATCATCTGTATATTGCAGGCTGTTAATGAATCTTCCTCCAATCCTGATGCCACATTCTTTTTCATATAATCCAGTTTCTCAGATTATTTGCTCAACATACAGATGGAATAAATATGGTGAAAGATTAGAACCCTGGTGTACACTTTTCCTTATTGTAAACTATTCAGTGTCCCTTTGTACTTTTTGAACAACTGCCTTTTGTTCTATGTATAGGTTCCTTGTGAGCCCAATGAAATATTTTGGAATATCCATTCTTCCCAATGTTATCTATAACTTGTTATGATCTACACAGTCAAAATTTTATTGCATAGTCAATAAAGCACAAGAAAACATCTTTCTGGTATTTTCTGCTTTCAGCTAAGATCCATTTGATGTCTGTATTGATGTCTGTAGCTCAACATCCTCTTCTCAATCTGGATTGAATTTCTGTCAGTTCCCTATCAATGTACTGTTGCAGCCATTTTTAAATTATCTTCAGCAAAATTTTACTTGCATGTGATATTAATGATATTGTTTGATGATTTCTCTTTCCTGTTGGGTCACCTCTCTGTGGAATGGGCACAAATATAGTTCTCTTCTAATTAGTTGGATATGTTTCTGTCTTCCACATTTCTTGGCATAGATGAGTGAGTGCTTCCTGTGCTTCATCAGCTTGTTGAAAGATTTCAATTTGCATTCTGTCATTTTCTGGAGCTTTGTTTTTCACCAATGTCTTCAGTGCACATTGGACTTCTTTCCTCAGTAACATCAGCTCTTGATCATATTGCTACCTCTTGATATGGTTGAATATCAAACATTTCTTTTTGAAAACGTTATTCTGTGTATACCTTCCATCTTCTTTTGATGCTTTTGGCATCATTCAATATAGAATCCTTCAGTATTGCAAGTTGAGGCTTAAATTTTTCTTCGGTTCTTTCAACTTGAGAAATGCTGAGTGTGTTCTTCTCTTTTGTTTTCTAATTCCAGGTCTTTTCACACTTCAATTAATATTTGATTTTGTGTTTTCAAGTTATGCTTTGAAATTTTGGGGGGAGCTCTTTTACTTCCACATTTCTCTATTCACTTTAAGCTCTATACTCAAAAGCAAGTTTCAGAGTCTTTTCTGACAGCCCTTTTTGCCTTTTCTTTCTTTCCTGTCTTTTTAATGACCTTTCACTTTCCAACTGCAAGATGTTCTTGATGTCATACCACTGCTTTTCTGGTCTTTGGCTATTAGTGTTTAATATATTAAAACTGATAATCTAAATTTACATGCGATATGTTGAAGACTATATTTTGGCCATTGTGGACTTGTTTTAATTTTCTTCAGCTTCAGCCTGAACTTGCATATGAGCAATTGATGATCTGTTCTACAGTTAGTCCTTGGCCTGGTTTTGAATGATGAGATTGAGCTTTTCCACTGTCTCATCCTACAGATGTAGTCAGTTTGAATCCTGTGTATTCCATCTTCTGAAGTACATGTTTATAGTCACCATTTATGTTGTTTGAAAAAGGTATTTGCAATAAATAAGTCATTGGTCTTACAAAATTCCAGCATCATTTTTATCACTGAGACTATATTTTCCATCTACTGACCCTTCCTCTTTGTTTCCAACCTTCATATTCCAAACACAAGTAATAATCAATACATCTTGATTGCGTGTTTGTTCAGTTTCAGACTGTAGAAGTTGATAGAATTCTTCAATTTCATTATCACTGGCTTAGTTGTTGGTAAATAAATTTGAATAATAAAGGTATTAACTGGTCTTCCTTGTAGGCTTATGGATATTAAACTATCACAGATAGCATTATACTTAAAGACAGATCTTGAAATGCTATTTTTAATTATGAATGGTATGTCATTCTTCTTCAATTTGTCTTCCTGGCATAGTAAACCATATGATTGTCAGATTCAAAATGGCCAATACCCATCCGTTTCAGCTCATAGAATATTGATCTTTATACACTTTATTTAATTTGTGACAACTTCTAATTTTACTAGATTCATATTTTGAACATTCCATGATCTGATTATTAATTGATGTTTACTGCCGTTTCTCCTTATTTTTATTTGCTTCCTATCAGCAAATGAAAAACCCGAAAGCTTCATTCCATTCACATCATCACAGTCAACTCTACTTTGAAGAGGAAGCTTCACAAAGATTTATAGCCTTGGAAGCCCTACACAGGGTTATGTGTCAGAATCGACTCAGTGGCAGTTAATGACACACCAGTCTATACACTGATGATGTGGTTTCAGTGACTACACTGGAGAACACTGAGTCAGGACATGATATGCTGCTTCAAATGTCATTCTGAATAAATAATGTTGTTATTGTTTCCAGATGCAGAGCCTAAATATCTGATTGTTGTGCGGGCTGCCCCCCCTCCAAGTCAAAAGAAGTCATGCTCAGGTAAAATACTTTCATTGATTTCTTTTCTTTGGTTAACTTTAAATCTTGATTTTTTCCTCTGTTTTCTACCTTGTGGATGTATGCCTTACAAATGTTGACTATAAAATGTAACAAACACCAGTTACCATTGAATTTCTTCTGATTCATGCTGACCCCATGTATGTCAGAATAGAACTATGCTTCATACGACTTTCCTTGGCTGATTTTCAGAAGCAAATCACCAGAACTTTCTATAAACATGCCTCTGGGTAGACTCCAACCTCAAACCAACAGATGACCCCACATCAGAAGTAATATATATGTAGTAATAGATATTATATATAGCCTGGTGGCAGGAACTACTTGGGATCTGATCCAGCACTATCACAACTTGGAAACTGCAGGCCATATGCAAGTAACTGGATCTTCTCTTTGCCCTCTTCTGCTGCGTAACAGGCTTGTGAGGCTTTAAATCAGTTAATGAGGAAATGAGCTAATGGATATGTATTTAGGAAGTTTCTGACCCATAAGAAGTGCTCATTTAGGGGGATCTCCTGTTAGCCTGTCTCTGTTTTGTAATTCATGCCTACTATGTGGTGCTGTGGGCTAATGTGCTAGATTGCGAAGTCAGTTTGAACCCCAAGGTTGGTGGTTCAAATTCACCAGCCACTCCTTAGAAACCCTATACAGAGTCACTATGGGTCAAAACTGACTTGATGGCACTTCCCAACTGTGTGATGCCTTAGGATAAGCAGTGATCCTAAGGTCCATTTGAACTGCAAGGTTGGTGGTTCAAACTCAACCAGCTGCTCCTCATAAACCTTATATATAGGGTCACTAGTCAGAACAGACTCGAGACCACTTAACAACAACAACTATTACTCCTTTCAGAGCCCTGGTGTGGTGCTTTAGGATAAGTTCTGGACTGCTAACTACATGATTTGTAGTTCAAACCTACCAACCACTCCTCAGAAACCCTATACAGAGTCACTATGAGTTGAAACCAAATTTATGACACTTAACAAGTACTGTTGTGCCTTTCAGAGTCCGTGGGTAACTTATGTGGTAAAGTGCTTGAAATGTTGGTGTATCAAAGCCATGCAGAGGCACCTGGGATAAAAGGCTTCTGAAAGGTCATAGCTTGAAAATCCTGCAGAGTGCAACTCTACCCCGCACATAGACATAGGGTCTCCATGAGTTGGAATCACTTTATAGCAACTGGTTTTATCAAGTCTTTCAGATTTTAAGGGCCAATTTTATGTGGTAACCTATGGTTAAGAAGACTGTTTGCATTTTTAAATGAGTAACTCAAATTATATGTATGCTAAATGGATTGGCAGTTGATGTCTAATGAACAGATGGGTATAAACATTTCTACATGACTAAAGAAAGATTAAAAAGCTCACACTGTTAAATTTCAATACTAAAATTTCTTCTCAGATGGATTTGCTAGACCAGTGTGATAAAGATGAACCTGCTGAAAACTGTGAATGTGATTTTACCATTTGATATTGCATCTTAATAATTATGTAGATAGTTGATCACATGTTTTGCTTTTCATTTTACTAAGTGAGCTTTTCAGAAAATAATTTTTCCTAGTCATATTTATCTTCTATGGTACATTAGATGTCACATAAATAAAGGAACTTCTTTTTTGTTTGCTATATTTTTCTAAAAGCATAAAATAGGAAGGAGAAACATTACAGTCCAGTTGCATTCCGGTTAATTGACCTGACTCATGGACGCCCCATGTGTCAGACAGAGTAGAACTCTGTCCCAAAGGAAGCCATGGCTGAATTTTCAGTAGAGCGCTGAGCCTTTCTTGTGAGGTACCTCTGGGTGAACTCAAACCCTCAACCTTCTGATTAGCAGACAAATGCCTTAATCGTTTGTACCATCCAGGGATTCTAGGAGGAGCAGGTAGCTATTCAAATATATTGACTAAATGGGCCTTTGGCAGTTCTGTATTCTGTCTCCTAGATGCATCAGCCCAAATCTAGTTTGTCAGCAATCAGGTGACACAACTGCCAGGCCTCCTGTTGGTTTTCACTTCTTTTAAGAGAAGCATTGACTAGTTGAGTGTTTTGAAAATATAAATTCCTTTTCCTGTTTCTTATGTTACTCCAAAATTGCAAAGAAAATTTCCACAACTATTTACAACTTGTTAAGGAGAGTTGTCCAGGCAGCTTTCCATATTTTTTAAAAATAAATGTGCTATCAACATTTCAGAAGCCTTGGTAGCATAGTAAGTTATGCATTGAGCTGCTAGCATCAAGGTCAGTAGTTCAATCATTCCTCATGAGAAAGATGAGGTTTTCTGCTCCTGTAAATATTTACAGCCTCCAAAACTCCATATATGGTTTCTATGAGTCAGAACCAACTTTTGGCACACAGTTGCAGCATCAACATTTCAAGACCCTGTTTCACAATATTGAATAATAAAGTCAGGAACTGTGAGTATAATTCCATGGGATTCAGGCTCCATATGAATAGACATTGGAGTATTTTTTAATAAAAGTATGATCCTAAAAATAATATAAAAGTCAACAGTATGATTATACCTTAGAATTGTATCATTACTTTTCATTTCAGTTCAGGGCTTCTATGATACTGACTTAGAAATCTTTTTCACTTTGTGACAATAAGCTCAAACATTTTCTTCTTGCTCAGGATATATCTTACCTTCCCTTTCAGCCAATAGCTACAACTTTTGTGTTTATAATCTGCATTTGGTAATGCTGTAATGAATAGTGAGTCAAATTCCACTTATTTTTATGTCTGCATCTGCCACATAAATTTTAATTATTTTGTTGTTTTTATATTGAGATCAAACTCAGTGAAATCATCTTTTGGTGGACATGTAAGCATTAGATTCCACTGGTGGTGGTGGTGTGCCATGGAGTAGATTCTGACTCATAGCAACCCCACATAGGGTTTCCAAGGCTGTAAATCTTTATAGGAGCAGAAAGCTTCATCTTTCTTCCATGGAACAGCTGGACGTTTCAAATTGCTAACCTTGAGGTTAGCAGCCCAACTCATACATAACCACTACTCTACTAGAGTGACTAAATTCCACTAGAGAAAAGCAAAATGTATCTTTTGTGTCTAACTGGTTTTATCTTTAGACTAAACAAATAATGTAGCAAAAAGACAACTAGATTAGAATTCAGAAGACAGATGTGGATTTGACTCTTGGCCTTGCTCTCAATGTGAACTTTCACATCCTCAAATTCTCAGGGCCTTACTTACTCATTTGAAAAGTGGAATAGTTACATTAGATTAGTAGTTGTTGTTAAGTACCATGGAGTCGGTTCCAACTCATAGTGACCCTGCACAGGGTTCCTGAGGCTGTAAATCCTTAATGGAGCAGAAAGCCTCATCTTTCTTCAGCTGAACAGCTGGTAATTTTGAACTGTTGACCTTTTGAACTGTTGACCTTGAGGTTAGCAGCCCGATTCGTAACCACTAGGCTGCCAGAGCTCTTTAGTTGTAGAGATGGAAAAAACGTATATAAGAATACCTCAGGGCTTTTCAGATTACATGTACACTCTATTCCTCACTGCAGATTCTCAGTTTTCCTTCTTATGTGCATACTTGACACCATTTGAATCATGACCATAATGAATTACCGTCACAGACAGAACAGGAAATAACTCCTCTTAAAAATGATTCCAAAGATCTTTTAAAAATCCAATTAGGTTATAGCCAGGCAAATTGCCACCGATAGGTTAAGTACTTGGCGCGCGTTTTATAATGAAATAACAGCTCACAGAACTTAAGCCTAACAGAAACTACAAGCATGGCACAGTTTTTTGGGTCATTTGATTCAGATAACTGTTAGACACTTGTTGTTGTTAAGTGCCGTGGAGTCGGTTCCAACTCATAGCGACCCTGCACAGGGTTTCCCAGGCTGCAAATCTTTACAGGAGCAGAAAGCCTCATCGTTCTCCCGCAGAACAGCTGGTAGTTTCCAACTGCTGACCTTGTGGTTCACAGCACGATTCATAACCACTACACTACCAGAATTCCTTATTAGACTCTTGGGTTACAAGTTATATTGTTGCTTGGTTTACATTTTATTAGAAACAGTAATACAGGGTCTTTCCACAACAAATCCATACACAAAGCCTCATGAAGTGAAAGACCGAACCCAATGGAAATACAAAGCATATATATTGTATATAGTTCTATTAGATCTAGGTCTGATTTTTATTTTACTAATCCTATTCTGGTTTTGTTTGTTTTTTATCAACCACAGTTGGTTACCAAGGCTGAGTGTCTGTCCTCATCTTTTTCACTGTTTTCACATTCCTGCAGATTCAAATCATTTTAGAAGTACATGTGCCTGCCACCTGTATACTTGTAAAGAGTCTAGAGTGGTCCATGAGTATCACTTTTGGCCCTGCTCAAAGCCCAGTAGTCCTGTCAGAACAACTTTATTACTTACTCTGTTAGGCCTACTCTTTCAGTATTATTGCAAACATGAGCAACTTCTCTATGTCTATGTTCATTGTAAATAATATGCTTATTAAAATGTTATAATATTTTGACACAAATAAGTTTTTAAAAAAGGAAACAACCTACAACATGGCTGGTAAGATTTCTTTTCTTAGATGTTATTTCACACTGGTTGTCAGTCCTATTTTTAAAAAATGTATGCTTTTGTTTTGTCTGTAGAAGAAATGAAGTGTATGTTGTCTATCATTCATATACACATATTCACATATATACAGTTACATATATACATAGCTGCAGGTTGATTCGGGTTTAGTTTGACTCATAACGACTCTGTATATTGTTTCCAAGGATGTACATCTTTACAGGGGCAGAAAGCATCATCATTTTCCCACCAGCAGGGCGTCTGGTAGATTTGAGCAGCTGACTTTGTGGCTAGCAGCCATTCATAGCTCACTGTGCTACCAGGGGTCCTTATACATATATATTGTTGTTGTTGTTGTTGTTAGTTGCCAGTTAGTCATTCCAACTCACAGCTACTTTATGCACAGTAGAATGAAGCACTATCAGTACTGTACCATCCTCAAAAATATTGTTATACTTGACCCTATTTCTGCTGCCACTATGCCAATCCATCTCGTTGGTGCTCTTCCTTTTTTTTTTTTTTTTTTGACTCACTGCTTTACCAAGCATGATGTCCTTCTCTAGGGACTGGTCCCTTCTGACAATATGTATAAAGTATGAAAGATGAAGTATCACAATCCTGGCTTCTAAGGAGCATTCAGGCTGTACTTCTTCTAACTGTTCTTCTGGCAGTCATTGGTGATTTCAGTATTCTTCTTCATTGTAATTCAAATGTATCAATTCTTACACAGTCTGCCTTATTCATTGTCAAATATTCACGTGCATATGAAGCTATTGAAAATACCATGTCTTGGATCAAGGACACCTTAGTCCTCAAATTGGCAGATGTGCTTTTGAATGCTTTAAAGAGGTATTGTACAGATACTCATTCAATGCATTACATCATTTGATTTCTTGACTGCTACTTCCGTGAGTATAGACAGTGGATCCATGCAAAATGAAGTCTTTGACAAAGTCAGTCTTCTCTCCTTTTGTCATGATGTTATTTATTGGTCCAGTGGTAAGGATGTTTGCTTACTTTACATTAAAGAGCAACCAGTGCTGAAGGTCTGTGATCTTCATCAGTAAATATTTTAAGTCCTCTTAGCTTTCAGCATGCAAGGTTATATTGTCGGCATATTGCAGGTTGTTAATGATTCTTTCTCTAATCCTGATGCCACTTTCTTCATATAGCCTGGCTTCTCATATTATTTGTTCAGCATAAAATTGAATAAGTATGATGAAAGCATACCACCTACCTGATTTTAAATCACTTAGTTTCCCCTTGTTTTGTTTGAAGGACTGCCTCTTGGTGTATGTACAGGTTCCTCATGAGTACAATTTAGTGTTCTGGAAAACCCATTCTGCACAATGCTTTCCGTAAATTGTCATGACCCACACAGTTAAAAACCTTTGTATGGTCAATAAACTATAGGTAAACATGTTGCTGATACTCTCTGCTTTCAGTGAAAATCCATCTGACTTCAGTAATTGTTGTTGTTGTTAAGTGCCGTCGAGTCAGTTCCGACCCATAGCGACCCTGTACAGGGTTTCCGAGGGTGTAAATCCTTACGGGAGTAGAAAGCCTCATCTTTCTCCCGCGGAGCAGCTGGTAGTTTCGAACCGCTGACCTTAAGTAATAGATCTCTCTTATTCCATTCCACTTCCTCATCTGAATCCAGCTTGAATCTCTGGCAGTTCCCTGTCAATGTACTGTTGCAGCCATTTTTGAATTATTGTTAACAGAATTTTAGTCATTTGTGACATTAATTATACTGTCCAATGATTTTCATATTCTGTTTGGTTACCTCTCTATGGAATGGGCACAAGAATGGATTTACAATCAGTTCACAGATTCTCTTCCAAATTTCTTTACATACTTAAATGTCTCTAGTGCTGCATTGAAATACTTCAATTTGTATTCCATCAATTCCTACAGTCCTGGTGTGGCACTGTAGGATATGCACTGAACTGTTACCCATAAAGTTGAAACCTACCAGCTGCTACTTGGAAACCTTATACAGGGTTGCTGTTGTTCAGTACTGGTGGCATAGCTTCTAGCATCACAGCAACATTCAATCCACCACATTATGACAAACTGACAGCCAGTAGTGGTATCTATCTATCTATCTATCTATCTAGATATAGGTATAGATATAGATAGATATATAGATATAGATATCGATTATAGATATAGCTATATCATTGTTATTGTTGTTCAGTGCTGTAGAGCCTGTTCCAACCCATAGCAACTCTGTATAAGGTTTCCAAGGAGCAGTTGTTTAAACCAATTTTGCAGCTCAGTGTATTAACCACAACGCCACACCAGGGATATGTGTGTGTGTGTGTGTGTTGGAATGGATTTTTGGGAGTGGGTTTGGTTTTTTTGGTTTTATGAGATTAAATCAACTATATTAATGAAAGAATTTGTCTATAGCCATTCAGTGATCAAAGAGACATGTTTAAACATGTTTTGTTTGAAATAAACCTTTGTGTGTGTGAACTGGAACCCTAGTAATAATACTTTTTCAGTTATATATACCTAAAAAAGGGGGGGAGGTATTTAATTTACATTTAAATTAGTGACAAAGAAACCAATACAAGGGGCTTCAAAAAGTTCATGGAAATATCAAATGAGAAGATAATAGATTTTTTCCATGAACTTTTTGAAGTACTGTGTATTTCTGGGCCATATCTAACCAAAAGAAATTTGATGTTTTCAAATTTTTCATCATCTCTCCAAGTCACGTACATACAATTTTACCTAAATCATGAAAATCCACTAAATGTTACAAGAATTGTCCTTGTCCGTTTTCTTCATAGGTAAGACACGTACTCGCAAGCCTCTCCAGTTGGTGGTTGGCACTCTGACGCCAAATTCTGTCTTTCTGTCCTGGGGATTCCTCATCAACCCACACCATGACTGGACACAGCCAGGTCACTGTCCCAATGACAGGTAAATCACCATAATTGCAGACTGTACTTTCCATCTGAAAATTCGTGCTTGCTTTTATTGATACCTTTACCTGCCTTAGAAGAATTTATACTCATCTGGAGCATTAGCATTAACTGATCACCCCCTAGCTGTATAATGTGTTCTAGGTGTGAAAGTAACAGAGATATAAAAGTCAAGGTCTCTGCTTTCAAGGGAATTATCATCCATCTGTAAAGAAAATACATGTGTTTGTTTGTTTTCAAAAGAAAAATCTATAAGGGAGAATAACCAAACAGCAACAATTACTGTACTAGTCGCTAAGAGTTAAGAGGTTGTGGCAGTTAGGAAAGGCTGTGAAAAGATAGAAAAGTTGATTTCTGATTAGAAAAGGATAGATCTTTGGTTTGACATGTGTAGAAATGTTTGACACAGTAGATCTCCCAATCAAGCAGTGCCAGCATCACCTCTCAGTTGGGAACTTGTCCCACAAAGTAAATTCTCAGGCTCCCCTGTAGACCCGTTAAATCAAAAACTGTGATGGCAGACTCCTGAAATCTGTGTTTTCTCCTCATGCCACTAAAGTATGAGAATCACTGGTTAAGAAAAGAAGACAGACAGATAGAAGGAAATCTGTAGGCAGTGGAAAAGCACCAAGTGGTAGTGCAAAATAAGAATAATTTTATGTTTAAATGATTGGCATTTATTCATTTCATTCATTCATCCAATTCATGTATTTGACTAGGCACTATACTAAATGGTAAGCCATAACTCTAAATCTGTTATAAAATTGTATTTGCTGAGTATAAATATCTATTATATTAAGCTGAAATGTAAAAAATTTGCATCTGGATAAGCATTCAACATTTCCAATCTTCACTCAAGACATTCTTTTAAAAATATTTTTATTCTAAATATACTCTAAGTGATTTAAAAATGTTCCATTCTTATTTTTAATATTATATTGTTGAGACGTAATTTAAACCTAGTAAAATGCACAGAAGCTAAGAGTATAGTTTTATCAATTATGACAAATGTGTGTACCCATATATCATATACCTCATCAAGAAATAGTTTCATCAGCCTAAAAAGTACCAAAATAAGCAAACAAACAAAAAAACACTGATTTAATTTCACTTTAGATTAGTTTGCCTATTCTTGAATTTCATTCTTCTTTCATTCAGCATATTTTTGAGGTTTATTATCTGACGTTTCAGGATGAATATTTCATTCTTTTTTCATTCCTGATTAGTATTCCATTATGTCAATATTCCAGAATTCATTAATCCTTCTGTTTATCAATACCTGAACTTGGATCTGTTTTAGAGCATTGTGAAAATTTATGCTCTAAATGTTTCATATCTCTTAGGATATATATTTTAATATGTCTTAGGTTCCTGGCAATGGAATTTGCTGAATTACAGGAAGGATATGTATTTAGCTATTTTTCGCCTAGCTTTTCCACTTACTCCCACAAGCAAGTATGAAGAGTTCTGGTTGTTCCACGTCCTTGCCGCCTTTGGTAGTGTCAGCATTTTTAATCTTAGCCATTTTAGTGTAGTTTGAATATGCTTATTTTTATGTGCTTGTTGAAAATTTTTATATGTTTTATAATACTCTATTTTTAAAATATTGTATTTTTGCTCATCTAAATGGAAATAATAGGAAAAATTTTATAAATAATTATGATTTCCCACAAGCATGTTTCATATGACTTTGACTAGGAAATCTGGACTAAATTTTTTTAAAGGTAAAACTTCCCTCACATATCTATGTTTTGAAGGGGTACATACTTAGAAAAGACACGTAAAAGATATTGCCAAAACCAACATTTAAAAAAATAGCTTTGATACATTTCAGAGAATATGAAATATTCCTCATTTTTCACATCAGTAAGGTCATAGCACACTTTGTTTGGAAAATGAGCTCTTGAAAAAACATGCTTTCTTATGATAATTCCAGTTTCTAGTGGACCGTACAGGGTGCCAGGGCTGAGAAAAATAAACATTTTTGCATTGCTTTCTTTTTTATTTTATTTTTTTAAGAGTCTTTTATAAAGAAAACAGAAAGGAAAGGGGAAGAAAAGAAATGAGATTTCTTTCTTGCAGCAAACTGCAGCCTAATTTAAATGGTTACTTAGCTTGCTTGCTAAATCATTGGTAATACTTGTTTCAACTGGTTCAGTTTCCTGGAGAATTCATATAGCATAATTTCAAAATGATTTGTTCCCCTGCCCTCAAGCTTTTTTCTCAGTTTTACTTGGCCTATTGAACTATTCATCAAAACAAAAGATTTATTGATTGGTTTTAATTGATGGACGTTATTGTTGAATACTATGAGAAAATAATGAATATGAAGATAGTAGAGGAACAGATGGAGTCTCTGGGTGGCACAAATGATTAAGGCACTCAACTGCTAACCAAAAGGTTGGAGGTTCAAGTCCACTCAGAGTCACCTGGACAGGCCTGGCTACCTAATTCCTAAATATCAGCTGAGACTGCTATGATTTGAAATCGAATCAACAGGAACGTTTAGAGAGGAACAGTGACCTATTGAAGCTAGGATTTGAATCCAAGTTTCTTGTACTGTAGAGCCCTCACACACCTTGCCCTCATGCCTCCTCCTTACACAAGCACATACTCCCACTAACTCTGATTTTATCATCAAATAGATTCTGTCAGGCAGATCAAGCCACAACATTTTAAATCAATAATTTCATCCTGATATATTTTGGGGGGGAGCAATTCAATGAAAACATGTCAACTAACCTTCAAACTTGAGTGGGAGAATCAAGAAATAATTGCCGTGAAGAGGGAAATGTTAGTCTATGATTTAAAGGTTAAGTTAAACAGCAATGATGAAATGCGCTTATAGGCATTCCTCAGAGAGGTTGTGGGTATAGTTCCAAAGTACCAGAATGAAATATTATTGCAATAAAGTAAGCCACAAGACCTTCTCTGTGCATATATGAATTCGTTTTAAACTCTACTGTAGTCTTTTAAATAAGAAATGTTGTTGTTGTTGTTAAATGTGTTGAGTCAGTTACAACTCATAACAACCCTATATAAGGTTTCTGAGGCTTTAAATCTTTGTGGGAGCAGAAAGCCTCATTTTTCTTCTGCAGAGTAGCTGGTGGGCTCCAACCACCAACCTTGTGGTTTACAGTTCTGTATTTATGCTATAGAGCCACAGCACTCCCCAAAGTTGTTGTAATGTTGTAAGTGCCGTTGAGTCGATACCGACTCATAATTGACCCTATGTAGAGTTTCCATGGATCAGCTGGTGGGTTTAAACTGCTAACCTTGCAGCTAGTAGTAGTCTAGTGTTTATCCTACAGCACCACAGCAAAACTCTGAACGTCCTTGCCTTGCTCTGGGAAAACCAAATGGTTTTAGCATTAATAAAAAGTTTCAACTACTGTGAGAATTATCAAAATGTGGCATAGAAACAGGTAGTGAGCACATACTGTTGGAAAAATGACTCCAATAGACTTACAATGCACAGGTTTGCCACAAACCTCCAGTATATAAACCAAAACGTAGTCTCTACAAAGTGCAATAAAACAAGGTATACGTGTGCTTGTGGAGTGCATTTACCCATGCTTCCTTTTCCCCTAGTTAATAGTTAATAAAGAGCTGATATTTAAAGTTTCTGTGTTGTTTTATTAAAAAATGCTGTTGTTTAGTGCAGCTAAGACAGTTCCAACTCATAACAACCCTGTATAGGGTTTCCACGAAGCCACTGGTAGATTTGAAGCACCAACCTTGCAGTTCAAACCAACCTTGTGGTCCAGTGTTTATTCTTATTTAAAGGCTCTGGATATACTGCATATGTAAATTCCCAAATAAATCTACCCAAATTGTAAATTAATATAATTTGTCCTCATATGTCCATATACATGTTAGTTAGAATTTAGGCTAATCCAGCAAGTTAGAGTAAGCAATAATAGCTAAAGTGGATGCTTACTTCTTGAAAATATGAAGACTAACATAGCTGTGGCTTTCTTACAGACAGGAGCATCTTCTTTAAGAAAAAAAAAAAAAAAAGCAGAAAAGAAAAGAAAAATCATTGAAATCTGAATGCCCTTGCTTTGCTATGGGAAACCCAAATGGTGTCATTTTAATCTTTTGAAATCAAACATTTGGCACCTTCTGTAAAATATTTAATAAAAGAACACTACACGTTGGTTTGTTCCTCAATTTTTTTCTACACAAATGAAAATAATTTATTGGAAAACTTTTTGTTTTTTTTCTTTATGCTTTGACTTTGGACTAAAAACCTTTTAGATTAAAGCTCATGTATAGTAGTAATTTTCCTCTGAAAACAGTCTTGTTTAAGTTTGGAAGTTCATATCGGAGCGTATATGTTTGAAGAGTGTACTGGAGAGTATAATTTACAGTTTTTATTCTTAGACGTTGAATGGAAGAATACACACATTTGTCCTCAGAATATCTAAAGTCAACTGATAGTTTTCCAAATTGGCGCAGGAGAAGGGTAAAATATTTTTTAACCAAAAATTATTTCTTAATTTTTCCTTCCCATGTTTCCAACTTGTTAAAACTTTCAAGATTGTTTTGCTTCTCAAATCTTTGCCATCTTTTTTAAACTTTATGATTTGTTTACTGGCATTTTCACATTTTCTAACACTTTCATATTGTAGTTATTTACTTTAACTGTGGAAAGATGGATCTCCTGTTTGGATGGTCCACAGCAAGCTCTTGACCCCAACCCTTTTGCTTTGTTAGTTTTTAAGTAGATTTTTATTTTCAGTATCTGTGAATTCTCAATAATAGACCTCAATGATTTATTATTCATTTGTCTTGCCACTTAAACTTTAATCTCTAAGAGAACAGAAACCATGTGTATTTTAAGCACCATGGTTTCACTAGGTCAGTGTTTGGCACATAGGAGGACCTCAGCATATGCATGCTGAGTGAATAAATAAACAGTGAAATGACGATTAACATTTGATTTTTGTGTTTCACCACTGTTTGAAATGTCACAAGTCCATTATCTCTTTTATC